GGCCCTATCCGGCCTAAGCTTGGTGGGCCTCCGCTCAAGGCCGCTCCGAAGGGGGCCGTTCCTAGTGCTGAAGCCCCTTCTGCGAGCTCGGCCTCCACGGGCGGCCCAGAGGGCTCCCGAGAAGGAGGTACGGCCGTCCCAGAGGAGACCGAGGAGGAACGGGCCAAGACTGAGGCCATCATCCGCGGGATCGACGATTTCATGGCATCCGTGGAGCGTCGGTCGGCAAGCCAAGAACGGCCCGCTCCGAAGTCTCCTGCGCGGCACACCTTTGTGCCTTGCAGTGTGGATCCGATTCCCGAGGAGGCTGCAGTGCCTGGGGAATTCGTCGATCTCGGGGACACCCCCGACCGGAGTGCGATCCATGGCGGGGGCGTGGCTGGTTGCCCTACACCCGAGGAGATTGGGAACGGAGACCCTAGAAGGGTTCCTTCCCGTGGGTCCGGCCACAAGTGTGGTATCCGCGGGTGCCGTGCCGAAGTCGAGCACGAGTACGAAGCCGCGTACCACCGAGCGGCGGTCCACGGAAGGGGCCTTCCGGCGAACATGGTGCCGGCCCCGTGCGACGATGCGTTCTTTGGAGAAGCCGCTGTGGCTCTGAGACGCTTCCGCCACGGAGAAGCTCGCAGAGACCACAGAGACCGTGTCTGGGCCTTTGAGGCTGACCTGGGCCGGTTTACGCATATCTCCAACCCGGACCGCTTCTGTGATCGCATCGGGGCGGAGCTGCGTGATTTCAGGCGGCTCCCGGATGGGGCGCTTTGTGTCACTTCCGATGGTCTCTGGCGCACGTATCGCCTTGACCGGAGGCCGGTGCAGCGGGCGAAGCCTCCCGTGCGCTACCCGAGTACCATTCTCGGGCCAGCGTACGAGGAGACGGACTTCATGATGCCAAACGCCGCAGCTCCGAGTCCCTACCGTCACTTGTTTAGGGACGAGACCCCGCTGGGCGAAGCGTTGGAGGCGATTCGCGAAGAGCAGGGGAGATCCGGAGAGGTTCCCGAAGATGTTGAACCGCCTCCTCCGGCGTTCCCCGACGAGCTTTTGGAGCCCAAAGATCCGGACGTGGACGCTCCCCGGGAAGATACCCCGAGGGAGCACGTCCAAGCGATGAGGGAAACCTTTTCAGACCTTATCTGGAACGCCCACGATGGGCTCAGAGAAGAAAAGCTCGCCGCGGGTGTCTTGAACCCTATCGCAAAGCAGACTGACAACCAACTGGAGATAGATCCCCCTATGCTGGAAACGGATCTGCTCCCTCGAGAGAAGGGGGGTGTCCAGAGGACTGGAACCCCGCCTGATCCACGATGGGGTGCGGAGCCTCAGGCTTCCAGCCCTAAGAAGAAAGCTCCGCCATCTTCGGCGACGCATTCCGAGGATCAGGAGATGGCTCCTGCTCCTCCGGATGCCTCTCAGGAGGCGTCTTCCTCCTCTGCAGCGCCTGCGGCAAACGTGACTCCCCCAGCTGAGGCAGGGAGTCCGGAGGTCCGGATCCCTAGCCTCGCGGAGTCTATGAAGGCAGGCTTGGCACGGGAAAGAGCGGCGGCACGCGCAAAGGAGGAGCTTGCTGCTTCGGCCCAGGAGGCCGCGGCTGCGGCTCCTGAGGCACGGCGCGACACCCGCCTTCCTGCAGTGACCAAGGAGGAAAAGGAGACAGCAGAGGCTAAGTCCCTCTCCTCCCTCAAGCGCGCCGTTGAGGAGAGCGGCTCTGAGCGTCAAGGCCCCGCGGCCAAGCGGGCCACCACCAAGAAGGAAGAAGCGCCCTCGGCACCAGCCGGCCCTGCAGGAGCCGCGGCCGGGACAGGCGCGGCTCCCTCGTCTAGTGGCGAGGCAGGGGCCGAAGAAGGTGCCAGCGGGGCCGCTGCTCCGTCGAGCACAGACAAGCGGCGACCCGCGGAGCCGGAGGGACCGCCGCCGCCCAAGAAGCGATTCACAACATGGCAGGATACCATGGAGTCGCCGGCTCCCCAACACCGAGTTTCGGGGGGTTACGGACTCTCGAACGAGGTTCCCGGGGCCGATTGGCGCGACGTGGACTGGGATGCGACTCCACCGCCGGGGCCTGGAAGGCCCGGCGCCCGCGACGTGGATCCCAGGCTCACGGTCCCCCTTGATCTCCAACATGATGAACAGATCAGGGAATTCTTACGAGGCGGTGGTGAGCATACGCTCGAGCAGCTCCTCGCGTTGGCGCGGCGCCGGAGGCGCGCGTTCGTCTACCAGGCTGCGATTTTGTCGAACAGGCCAGTGTTTGAAATCTGGCCCGATTACGATGAAAACGAGCTTGGACCGACACCCGAGCGCGTTCCGCTCCTCACAGGCAAGGTCTGGCATTGGGGCTGGTGGGATTGCTTTACTTGTGGGCGTGCGAACCCACCAGAACGCAATACCTGCCGGCACCATGATTCCGAGGAGCTCGGAGGTGCCCCCTGTGTGGGGATCTTCGAGGGCAGCCTGTACTGGAGCACGCCGGTGGACCTGCGAACGGCGCCGGCGTGGTTCATCGAGGTCTGGCTCGATGAACATAAGGAACGCATAAAGGAGTACCTTTATGCGAAGCGTTCGGACGCGATCGCCGCCGCAATGTCCAACGCCTAATGGACCTGTGGGCGGGACACATGCCAAGAGAGGAACATGTTATGGCGCAAACTGTGCTTTAAGTGCAGTGGCCCTAAGTCGGGCGCGTCGTTCATAACCCACGGCATGCCGCCCCAGGAAGGCGACGATGAAGCTGCTTCTTCGTAGGAAGAGAGCGAGGGCACGAAGATGGAACGGATCGAGCGTTCCATCAACGCCGATCCCCTTGCGGAGCATGCGAGGAAATTCCTCCGCTCCGGACGGAAGAGGCTCCGCGCTGAAAAGCGCAGGCAGGCAGAGCTCTCTCAAGACTCTGCCCGAGCCTGGTGGAGCCAACCTTCCTCCGGGCGCGGTGCACCCCGTGGGGGCCGCAGCTCTGGCAGCAAGGGTGGTGGCAAAGGTGGTGGAAGGGGAAGCTCGAACCGCTACGGCAACCGAGGATGGTGGGCCGGAGGTGCTGCCGGACTGGCATACTCCTCCCGACTCGGCGAGCGTGCGGGGCAGCCCGCCCTCACGCTCCCACTGCGTGGCCCGGGTGGCCACAGAGTGGCGCCCGAGGCCCCTGCCGTTTCTTCTCGCCCCGCTGTCTCTTCCGGGCCCTCGAACCGTGGTGGGTTCCTTGGGGCCGTGCGCTCGATAGGCGCTGCGGTCTCCAGCTGGGCTCTCTCAAGGAGAGCGCGCAATCGCGCAGCCCACGCCACAACGGGCAACATTGGATGGAAGATGGGTTTGGTGGCCGCTGCGCTGGCGCCTACCCTCTTCACTGTTGATCGCGGTGCCAGAGAGGTGGCACACGTGAGCCTCACTGCAGTTGCCACTGCGGCGGAGGACCTCATCGAGGAATCCTCTGGTATCCTCGTTCGGGGTGTCCGCGTGGTTGGCTTGACGGACGTCGTCCTACTGTGGACGTTCGCGGCCGTAGTGCTGTGGTGGGCCGGACGTGTCGCCACTAACCGGCTAATGCACGCCATGAACGGTAACCCCTTTGGGAATGCTGTTCTGGTGTCGCTCGAAGGCCGGGAGGCTGTCGTTGAGGTTGCATCAAAGACTAAGGCCGGAGCACACAGGGTTCTTGTGAAGGTCGGGTCGGGCGCGGACGGCGCAGGCTGCGACTGCAAGGCATTCCTCAACGAGGGACGTTGTGGTCACATAGAACGCGCTGTTGAAGCTGCGGGGAAACTCGTGGCCATGACAGGCGCGAGCGCTGCCCCAACGCTGTCCGTCGCCCCGGCCGCGACTAGACGCGCCCGTGCGATCCTCGGCGCGCCGGCCCTGGAACAGGGGTGCCTTGCCGGCATGGTGTCGAAAGCGAGATCGCTCTCTGAAAGAGCTCGGAATGTCGGGAACCCGTCCGAGGGTTGGCTTGACGGCTTTACCAAGCTCAGAGGCCGCCACGAGGTGGCCACAGTGTCGGCGCCTCCGACAGAGACTGTTCCGAAGACGCCTGCAGCGGAGGCTTCCCGCCAGGGTACCTCTGCGGCGTCGCCGGCTCCGACAGCTCCCATGTCGAGCCAGGCACGGCGTGTCAGAGACTTCCCGATCCCTGACGGCTTCGAGCGAGCCGGGGTCAAGTTTCTGACCCTTCCGGAGTATCACGCTGTGGTACAAACGAGGCTATCGGACGCTGGGCATGGGGACCACGTTTACGTGCGAGCCTACAGCTTCGATAGCAAGCCTTTGGTTGGAGCCCTCGTGTCCTCGCTAGAGCGAGGCGCCCGAGCCCACGTGCTTGCCGACAACTCGCAGACGAGCCGGACCAAGCTCCAGCTGCAGTCCCTCAAGGAGCTAGGGGCGGCTGGCGTCCAGGTCCGTGTCGGCAAGGGCGCCTCGGTCAAGGCGGCTTACGCCGCCGAGAACCGCACGGACGTGAGCATCGGCGCAGGCCTCGCGGGCATCCACCACGCCAAGACGGTGCTCGTGACGAGGCCGGACTCCACAGTTAGCGCCGTGATAGGAAGCCTAAACTTTAGTGCTCGTTCACGGGCCAACGCGGAGGTCGGCATCGCGGTCGCCAGTGTGCTGACCTCTGAATTTAGCCAAAAGTGGCTAGATTCGTTTGGCACCGAGTGGTCCAAGGCGCTGAAGCTCGAGGAGTTCGAAGCACCTCAGCGGAAACACCGCGGGCGGGCAAAACCCTCAAATGTCCAGCAGCCCGCCGCGCAACCCAACGTGGAGCCGCAGTGACCGTGGACTAGAAGTCGCGGACTGCGCTCCGCCCTTCTAGCCACCTGTGGCAACTTCAGTTTTGGTCGCAGCACCTAGCTGCTTTCCGATTAGACGACAGGGTGGCGTATCCGCTCTACAGGTCTTTGACGGGAGCGGCTAGGGAGGCACGGTAGTGCTCCCGAAGCGCGTGGAGTAACGCCGCAGCTTCAGCTGCTCGTTTCACCAGCCCTGTGGCCGCAGTGCGGCGCAGGCTGGGTACAGTAGGAAACCAGAGCCTCGTGCAGCACAGGCCGTGAAAAACGAAGGTCTTGTGCTGAGTGCGAAGGGTTTGTAGGAGGGCAGGGTCTGTAGGTCAGTTTTACGGCCTCCGGCCGCCCGCGGAATCCTACGGCTCTATCGTGCTCTCGGCTGAGGGGCGAATGTACCTGTACATAGTCTGCGGGCTGGCTGTTGTGCTGTATGCTTTTATGCATGCTCTTCTGTAATTCGTATTCATAACATTTTTGGCTCAAGTGAGCACGGCAGTGTGTCGTTGGTAGCTTCTCGTTGCCGCGACGCAATTGCGCGCAGCCCGTCCTGGGCGGACGTTCGACCTGTCACGGTCGTTGGACTTTCTGCTTGGACGGAAAACGAGGGTGCGTGCTGCCCCTTTGGGTTTCCGTTCTCCACAAATAAGCCCTAAACTTAGTACCCCTAATAAGCCCTAAACTTAGTACCCCTAATAAGCCCTAAACTTAGTACCCCTAATAAGCCCTAAACTTAGTACCCCTAATAAGCCCTAAACTTAGTACCCCTAATAAGCCCTAAACTTAGTACCCCTAATAAGCCCTAAACTTAGTACCCCTAATAAGCCCTAAACTTAGTACCCCTAATAAGCCCTAAACTTAGTACCCCTAATAAGCCCTAAACTTAGTACCCCTAATAAGCCCTAAACTTAGTACCCCTAATAAGCCCTAAACTTAGTACCCCTAATAAGCCCTAAACTTAGTACCCCTAATAAGCCCTAAACTTAGTACCCCTAATAAGCCCTAAACTTAGTACCCCTAATAAGCCCTAAACTTAGTACCCCTAATAAGCCCTAAACTTAGTACCCCTAATAAGCCCTAAACTTAGTACCCCTAATAAGCCCTAAACTTAGTACCCCTAATAAGCCCTAAACTTAGTACCCCTAATAAGCCCTAAACTTAGTACCCCTAATAAGCCCTAAACTTAGTACCCCTAATAAGCACTAAACTTAGTACCCCTAATAAGCCCTAAACTTAGTACCCCTAATAAGCCCTAAACTTAGTACCCCTAATAAGCCCTAAACTTAGTACCCCTAATAAGCCCTAAACTTAGTACCCCTAATAAGCCCTAAACTTAGTACCCCTAATAAGCCCTAAACTTAGCACCCCTAATAAGCCCTAAACTTAGTACCCCTAATAAGCCCTAAACTTAGTACCCCTAATAAGCCCTAAACTTAGTACCCCTAATAAGCCCTAAACTTAGTACCCCTAATAAGCCCTAAACTTAGTACCCCTAATAAGCCCTAAACTTAGCTTCCGGCGAAGCCCGTCCGGCGGCTCGGGGTTCCCAGGCCGCGGGTGCTCGGGCCTTCTGCTTGAAGTAGTAGTTTTGGTTTTGGTTTAGGGTTTAAGGTTTAGGGTTTAGGGTTTAGGGTTTAGGGTTTAGGGTTTAGGGTTTAGGGTTTAGGGTTTAGGGCTGCTGTAGAGGACCTTACGACTTTCGTAGCTTCCGTTCAAAAAAGCTTAGCTCAGGGCTTTTCAAGGTTTTACAAGGCTTAGCTTAGGCTTCTGTTCGCAGGATCATGGGACTTGGCAGGTCCATTACAGAGGGAGCTGTCCTCACCCTAATCGGAGCCATCCTCTCTACACTCGAACATATAACATTGCCATCATCTCAGTGAATAGATATGACATTTCTCATCATCTTATACTCATAACATGCATATAGTGAAGCTCAGGAAGTGGAAACATGGATGTTTGATGATTACTGCAGTGCTGGGATCCCCTGCACCTTGCCTTAAGGGCATGTGGCAAATGATGTTCCAACTTTCTGGTAGTTCTACGGGAGATTCCGAAAAAGTAGGGGCCCTATCTTCGGAAACTCTCATATAGTCGACTTCGAACTTCATGGCTAAACCAACTGATCCTCAAGTATGAGAACTTCGGGCAGATCTCCCCGGAAACGAACGTAACCCCGCCAACAAATCTTACCGCGACTAGGATTTGGGGTTTGAGAAGCTTGAAAACCCAAAACCCGGACCACTCAAAGACAGGAAGAAGAAGCCCCCAATCCTGTGCCGGGGCTTATGAGGAATAACAGCGGCCGCTGGACACGACCCCCGATCCACTTGGTAGTCATTCATTGACATCGCCCCGATGTCGATGACCGTGCCAACTTCTTCGGCCGAGTTGATGTAATGCATACCCGGGAAGGGGCAAACTTCTTTATTCCTGCGACCGAAGCACAGTACTTCAAGAAGAGGTCCCTGTTAGGTACTGCCCCCATACAGTAAGAGTCTATACTAGGGCTACTATTGAGGTCCTAAATTAACTATGTTATGAATATTGTTCAACCATTACTGAGTGGGGGTCGTACCCAAGGTCTTGTGTAAAGCTTGCCCCTCCAAGAGCTCGCCAGCTGCCCTTCTTCAGCAAGAGCAAGAGAGCTTCCGAAAAGAACAGGTAATGACGATCCTACTATTTAGGGTGCTAGATTAGGGTCCCCCATTTTCGGAAATCACCCAGACAAGATTGCCAGGTTGGAGATGATGCTCTCGACTTCGTCCAGCATGGAGCATTTCACTGCGGCCAAGCCTACCCTCAGGGTCCAAGGGACCTAATAATTAGGTACTCAGGGTTTCGTCTAGTACTTGTAGGTACATAGGTGAATTAATACTTGGAGAGTATGTAGTTTTTGAGTACATGGACCCACGGGGCTACAGGCTTGTGGAGTGATTCGCAGTGCTTACTACGTCAGCTTTAACTCACGCCTTTAGAAAGGCTCCTCGGGGCTCAGTGGACTTTGTACTGTAGAGTAAACCAGGTTTCAATCATGGGGCAAGAGGTCCAACAGGGATATCCTCCGGATTTACAGTGGAAGGATTTCGGCTTCATCCAAAGGCCTGGGGTGTGATGTGCCTCAGCGAAGAGCACCCTCCCCCTCTGCAGTGGCTGGGAGAGGCATGCCCACATATTTGGGCTCTTCAAGCGAGCCTGGTGCCCAATATCTATTAGACTATTACACTATGGTCATACTGGAATAAGCCTTGGGGCAGTATTCGCAATTGTTCAAACCCTCTACATTAAATACCCGATATCAGGAGAACAGAACAAATCCAAAGTCTCGAACCTACTAACCCATCGACCTTCTTGACCAATCCTCTAGGCCGACACCTCCGACAGAGCATCTTGAGAATTAGTGTGGACCTTTGGGGTGATGTTTGGGGTTTAGGGTGTATAGGGCTTTGGGTATACATACTATAATGGCACTAAATATTAATTCAGGGGTCTGTACCAGACCCCTACATCCAAGCCGGAAGCAGTAAACTTCAGTAAACCCTAACACTGGTTTAACCGAACAACTCCACCTAATTAACCCCTAAAGCCTACCGTTCGAAAACGTCTGTAAACCCTAAACCTTCAACCTAAGAACCAACAACATAAACGCAAACTGGCCATGCCTGCCGTGGCTGGCACGGCGCACTGGTTCCACATCCCCTGTCACGAAGTTTACTGCTTTTTGTTCTCTTGTGCCGAATTGACGGCTCGAAGAGGCTCTAAGCACTCATTGTGTAATGTGGGAACCTGATTAAGAAAGCTTGGGCCTTTATCAGGGTTCCTTAAATGAATCCTACTATTTCTGGGTTATAGGCCCCGAGTTTCTTAATCAGGTTCCTACATTATGCGGGTTTTGCAGACGGCTTTGTGAGTTTATACACGGTGTGAGCGACGTCAGGGTCTTGATGATAAGTCTGCTACTCCGGTCTATAATGGAGTTCCCAGTATTTGAAACTCCCACTGCGTGAGAAGCCAATGCCATGATCCTCCCAACCGGTAGGCATGTTTAAGTTTGCATGACCAACATATCTCAGCATGCGAGAAACCGCAAATACTTTGGCCCGGAACAACCCTAAACCCTGAACCCCTATAACCCCTAAACCCCGAAACCTTAAACCCAAAACCCTAAACCCTCTAAGCCTCTAACCCCTAAAACCCCTAAACCCTAAACCCTGAACCCCTAAATCCTAAACCGCCTAGAACCCTGAAAGTAGCCGTTTGCGGAACCGAGCCTTCGTCGTCTTCGGAGTCAGAAAAGTCCTGGACATCTCAGGCTCTTTGGGAAGAAGCTTCCTATACTGAAAGTAGAACCCTAGCAGAAATTATAATTTTAGCTGTTTTTCTTTAGGATTACCATAGCAAAAAAATGAAATTAGTACCACTAAGCTTTTGGGGTTCAGGGGTTTAGGGTTTGGGGGTCTGGGGGATTTAGGGCATTAGGGGGATTGGGGTTCGAGGTTTACGGCGATGATTTGAAGGGCTTTCTTCAAGAACTGATGGTGTCTAGGAGCTTCTTAAAATGAGGGGCAGCTGATTTCTAATGTCCGCAGTATAAGGGTCCTAAATCACATGTCAGGGCGAAGGAGGCGATTATTGCAGAGTTCGGGGTTCCGAAGGCATCGGGGCTTCTGTCTGGACATGGTTGCTTCGAGCTCTATATACTCGCGACGTGACAGGGCTTACGCATTTCAGGGCTGACCCTAAACTAAAGCCCGTTGGGTTTGAGGCTTACCTAGACCCCCCCCCCAAAGTAGGTAAAATAATGGCCCAATACCCATAAGACACTATTCTTCTACATACTTTGGGGGTCCAGGTAGTTGGAAGTCAGATCTTGGGGCTTCAGGGGTTAAGGTTTAGGGTTTAGGGGTTTAGGGCACGGTTTAGGGTTTAGAGCTTGAGTTTAGGGTTTAGGGGTTTAGGGACCCAGAACCTAAACCATCCTGAACCCCAAGCCAAAATCCCAAAAGTATGTAGAAGAACAGCCCCCTTTATAAGGTTTTGGGCCATTCTTCTGGCTACTTTTCGGGGGTCTAGGTAAGCCTAAACAAGGTTTAGGGGTTTAGGGTTGAGGGTTTGGGATTAGGGCTTGGGGTCTACTCTAACCCCTAAACCCTAAACGCTAAAACCCCCAAACGTTAAAGCACCCCAAACCCGACTTTCCCGGGTTCTCTGCAGAGCTTCAGGTTTCAGGGTTTGCTAAACGGCTTGCGGTTTAGTGTTAAGGGTTTAGCATTCAGGGTTTAGGGGCTAATTAGGGTTCAGGGTTTGGGGGTCTGGAATTAATGAAGGAGTTCAGGTTTAGCTTTCACGGCTCAGAGCTAATTAGGGTTCAGGGTGTTAGGGTAATTAGCCCGTCAGGATAACGATGAAGGGGTTGCCAATACCTTTTCAGTGGATTTTCGCTGTTCAGTTTTGAAGCGGGTGACTCGTGTGCGGTTTTTAGAAAGCTTTCCCTCTCTCTTGACCGACGGAATCCAGAGTTGTCATCATTCAGCCTTCGACCGCTTCAAACGTACATCACGCCTTATAGCCGCAATCCCAAACTCTCTCAGCAGAGAGATCACTAAGAGATCATAATACGATCATCAGTATATTTGTTCATATTGAATACTATTATATAGAATATTCTTTTAGGTTTAACGCAGAGGGATTTTAGTCCTCGTCAGCGAAGTCGTCGTCGCTGTATGATACGGCGCCTTAAGAGTGCAGGCAGTCTAGGGCGTACTGCATGGATTAGAAGCTGCCCCCACCCTGTAATAGTGACTATAAGGATTATATAGGATTATATTAGGGCCCCAAGATATTCCGATTATGCCACTATTACAGGGTGGGGGCAGCTTCTAATGCATGGACCAACTGACCGATAGAAAAAAAGCTGATGTAGGAATCTGGTTAAGAAACCCTGGGCCTAAACCCCCAAAATAGTAGGATTCATCCAAAGAATCCCAATAAAGGCCCAAGGTTTCTTAATCAGGTTCCTACATTATCTGGCTCCATATTTTGCACTATTATTGGGAATATGGGTCGATCTGAGTTTTCGCATAGTACTACAACCAGTAAGCAAGTCGCACCATGTTTCACCTGGTTATCCATGCTAACCGTCGTCGGGATCCTGAGGCAGACAGCCGAAGAATGCATGTTGATGTCTTGGACCATGATTTCTGACACAGAAATCGCTTGTCAAAGACAACCTTCAGAACCGGGCACTGGGCTTGAACAACTGTCACCGCCCCGCATCTTTCATGATGTTTATAGAACCGATAAGGGTGGCATGCTCATGGCCAGTCTGTACCGATCATCCGTATCGCCGAAACACCCCAAACACCTAAACACGAAACCGTAAGTAGTTTCTGGTTAAACCCCCTTATGCCAATACCTGAAGAAAACTCGGCTCCGACAAATCTAACACCTAAGACCTAAACCCTCACACGTACACTCCAACTCCTAATTCCTGGGCACTCCTGAAGACAGGAAACCTAGACCCTTGATCCTGAAGCCCGGAACCCAACATAATGCCTCAACCTCTCTCCAGACCCTACAAGCCATAATGAAACCCAAATGTCTACATCCTATATAACCCTAAGGGTCCATGTACCTAAATAGTATATACATTGGCCTTAAAGGAATACCTAAATAGGTACATTGGGGCCAAAGTATATACTATTTGGGTACATGGACCCTTAGGGTAAGCCAACCTGAACCCCGAACCTCAAGCTTAGACTATCAGGTTCTCAGGCAATCCCGTATACGCATGCCCGTGTTTCGTCTTATCCAGCTTCAATAAGGAGACCCCAGTAACATGGACGAAAAGGTACAGCAGGAGAACCCGACACCAAAGCAGAACTGTAGAGAACTGTTATAGACACCAAAGCAGAACTGTAGAGAACTGTTATAGAACCACACCCTGAAGCCTCTTAACTTCTCCTTGCCAGACTTACCTTTGGTTAGTAGGGTATGGAGGAATGGGGTACAATTAAAAATATAACTACGATTACTACCATGCTTCCATTCCCTACTAACCAAAGCCCTAAACCCTAAACCCCTAAACCCCTAAACCCCTAAAACCCCTTAACCCCTAAACCCTCAACCCTAAACCCCTAAACCCCCTAACCCCTAAACCCTAAACCCCTAAAACCCTAAACCCCTAAACTCCTAAACCCCCCTAAAACCCTAAAAACCCTCAAAAAGGTAAGCAGAGCGGCGGTCTTCGAACCTGGCAGCTTGCAGCTGCAACATTGGCACTGCTGGAGCCATGGCCGCCACAAGTTTTTCTGTTTGGACAGAAGCTTTTGTACAGTTCTACAAAGGCTGCAGCAAAGTCCTACAGGACTTTACAGGTTAACCCTAAAGTTTAGGGCTTAGGGCCTAAACCCTAAACTCTAAAACCCCTAAACCGCGGTTTCATCAGCGTTGTTCATTGTTTTTTAGCTCTTCCGAGGCACGGGCTTTTCGGGTCTAAGGGGCTTGGCTCCGAGGGGCTGAGGGCGTTTATGTTCCACTTTGTCTAAGACTAGAGACGCTTTAGGGTTTAGGGGGTTGGGGCAGCCGTGCAGTGGGAAATAGGGTCGAGGCTCCTGGTTTATGTCACGACGACGAAGTTGACATGTTGAGGGTCTCAGCACCATGTACATGAAATGGGGCTTCAACATTAAGCTCATCTTCATGGCAGTGTTTGGGCCCTGCAACCATGACCATGAAAGCACTTTCCAGGAAAGAGTCAGCGAGTCTTAGAAAACCCAGAACGACATCCATACATCTTACAGGGTGTACCACTTGGCCTTGTCTTGCAAAGTCCTGAACCCTGAGCCCTCACAACACAAGGAAAGGAATGCGTGTACGATCTGACTATCTATCTATCTGTCTGTCTGCCTGGCTATCTATCTACCTATTATCTATCTACCAGTTTATCTATCCAGATGGCCTCTATGGTACAACTACGTTCCTCAAGTCGATGCACAGCTTCTCGGGCGACGGGGGCATGCACCTTACTTAGAGTTAGAGTAATGGTGCTTAAGGGGAGGTGGATCCCTATAATAGTCCTAAAGTACCACCCAATGTGCTTGCTGGCGCTTAATGAGGACTGGGGAGAGCGTTTCGTGTTTAGGGCTTACTGGCTGAGCTTATAAACGCTTAGGGAGTGGATCCCTGTAATCACAATAACCCCTGTTCGTCGTAGACCTGAGGCTCCCAGTTCCCAGGGTAGTGCTTTTGGCTGATTGCTCTCACAGGGGAGTCGCACTAACCAGCAACAACCCCTCAGAGGCCTATTCTGTAAACGTGGGTCCCCTTTTTAAGCCCCCAAAACAGCACGGCACCCTTACACAAAGGACTCTAAACGTCTAAACCCGCAAACGCTTGATACTGAATCTGCAACAAACTCTGACGGTCAATGCAAGTTTGCTTGTCGCTTCTATCACCACGACAAGCTTGGACCCAAGCCTATTCTCTGAAGCCTAAACCCACAAGCCGTACCCGCAAAGCAGGGGCCTACGCCTTAACTCCCTTTAGAGGACCTTGTAGAACACATCTATGAGTCCAAACCAGACCCTCTAAAACCACGCAAATTGCACCAAATCACTAAACCTCTCCACCCTCGAGTTGAAACCCGAAAGACTTTATTTACAATGCCCTCAATGAATCCGAAACCCTAAGCCCGAAACCAAAGGCCCCAAACCGTACCTCAAACCCAAACCTCCACAGGGTTTAGGGTTTACCTGGACCCCCAAAGTATGCAGAGTACTAGCCCTTTATGGGTATTGGGCCATTATATTACCTACTTTAGGGGGCTTAGGTTAACTGAACCTCCACTTTTAATCAAACGCATAGAATGGGTCTTTGGCGCTGCAGCCTCCTGTGCTGAGAAGAGCTGCGGCTGGGAAGCGCCGCTGGTGAAACGAAGGAGCTCTTGGGGTTTTGGGGTTTTAGGGCTTTAGGCTTGTATGGTTTGAGGTTTCAGGGTTTGGAGTTTTAGGGGTTAGGGTTTAAATTTGGGTTTGATGGATCTGTTGAGGATTTTTTGGGGGGCTTTGGTTTCTTGATTTATAGGGGTTTAGTTTGGGGTTTAGAATTTGGGTCGTAGGGTTTGGGCTTTGCAGGTTTTGGGATTGGTTTTGGGGCTTATAGGCCTTCAGGGCCCAAAAAAGCAGAACGAAGGAACGCGAGTGGGATCACCCTGATACCCCGGCCACAACCACCCAGAATAAGTGATAGTTTTGCCGGATTCATGTTTGATACCCTCGTAGGAACCCAGGCCTTCTAGGCCTTCTTCATCCTCAGCCGTACCATATGGGAGTTTCCGACAATAAGGGCACCTTATTTCGGGGTCCTTATAATAAGGATCCTACTATTTAGGGAACTATATTAGGGCCCCCTATTTTCGGAAACTCCCGTATATCATGGCAGGAGCTTTGGGAGGTTTCGGAGTTTCCAGAGAGAGGTACCGCGGCATCTAGACCTAAGAGTAACCTAGGAATAAAAAGGGTGCCATTTTTGGTTTAAAGGGGGTGTTATAAGGGAACCTAAACCCTAAAAAAAGGGAATAAGGGCCTACTCTGGATCCTAGGCATTGTACTTGTGGTTCCAAGCCCTGCGAAATGAGGAGGCTATGATCCCTTGATTCGCAGGCATGACTTCGAATAGCAGTAGGTTCCAGGATCCACAGGCAGGGTTTAGTGCTTCAGAGCTTTAGGGTTTGCAGTTTTGGGGTCGGGTTCAACAATAGAGTTCGGGACTCTATATGTTTGACATTTAAGAGTTGCAGGCTCAGCTAAGGGTCTAACTCATCCAGCTAAGTGTCCCCTTGAGATCTCTGGGTTCATCACTTCGATTTCGAGACGGAGGGTTGGGGCTTAGCTTAAGATTTTTAGGGATTATAGGGTCCTGAACGACTAGATTAGGGCTCGGGGTACATTATCTCTTCTCGAGGGTTCTCAGTCTTGGCCAAAGGCCCTAAAACAAACACAACTGTCAACCTCTGCCTGTGTACGAAACATTGCGACAAAGCCACGCTGCTCCTGTTTCTAGCTAGGTCCGCCCCTTTCAACTACGATTACAGCCCTCATGGGCGCTTTTTTGGCTTCAAGGTTTTGGCATTTGAGGTTGGTTTGAGGCTACCAATATTTGGGGCTGGTTACATGGGGTGCTCTTACGGCACCTATACGCCTGCAAAGTTAGACCACATTCGAAACTATAAGGCCCTATGATCGAACTTCTTGGTCTAATCGAGCCCCTGTCTAACGTGCCGAGACAAACTCTGCGCCTCGCACAGCTCTTTGCTTCGAGGTGTAATGTAGGAACCTGATTAGGGAACCCTGGGCCTGGTAGGATTCATAGAAGGAGCCCTAATAAATGAAGGCCCAAAGGTTTCTTAATCAGGCTCCTACATTGTTATGGTAGCCTTATAGATCCCTTGTAGTAATCCTTCCTAGTAACCCTTTAAAAGAGCCCTAAACAAAGGCCCAAGGTTTCTTAATCAGGTTCCTACATGAGCAGTGGAAACTCAGGCACAAAACCAATTTCTGCGGAAGTCCTCCAGGACTCGGGGGTTTAGGGGTTTAGGGGTCTAGGGTTTAGGGGTTTAGGGGTTTAGGAGTTTCGGGGTTTAGGGTTTAGGGGTTAAGGGGCTTAGGGTTTAGGCTCCTGTTCAGGCTCGAACGTACATTTCTGCGCAATGAGAATAAAGCAGTCTTTCCCTGGA